CACATGAATGGAAAGTTCACAGACAACAGCTAAACCCCTATTCCCTTCTCAAGTAGTGCTTAAAATAGTTTTTTTTTTTTTTTTAAAGATTTTATTTATTTGACAGAGATTGAGAGAGAGAGAGTATACAAGCAGGGGGAGCGGCAGGCAGAGGGAAAGGGAGAAGCATGCTCGTGACTGGAGTCGAAGGCAGATGCTTAATCAACTGAGCCACCCAGGCGCCCCTTAAAATAGTTTCTTGACCAAAATACCAAGAGCTTTTATTTGGCCAGTCATGCCATCAGGAACGTGGCCAGTTTTGCTTTTGCTTAGAATCAACTACATTACAAACCCCTACATGTTTAAGACCTATCCTAATTTCAGAGATGTTAAAATATGAAAAAAAATGAATCTTAGGATTGGTATTTTCAGGAGGCTAGATCAAATGTTGAGTGAATTGTAGTTCATTCAGGAGCTCTGAAGGTTCTGCCTCTTTAGGATTCTCTGTGAATAACAAAAGAAAAAGCATGATCTGCTTTCCATTATATTAGCAGATAATAGTCCTTAATTCCCTCTGAAGGTTGCTGAGACAACTGCAAGTGAAATAGCTGAAAAATGTGCAATATGACTGCTTATTGTGAAATGTATCTAATCTAAATGAGGTAGATGGAGAATTAAGAATGTCAGATATTAGCAAGGATTTTTAAAATGCATAATTGTACTATTATATTTGTATCTTAACAATCTATTATATAGTCAGACAATGAAATATTGTACATCAGTGGAAATAAATGACAGCTATGTATAAAAGGATCTCAGAAACATAATGTTGAGTGAAAAAAATCAGATCCCCATAGACTATGTGTAACATACGATACCATTTTTATAAAGCTCAAAAAGGAACAAAACTAAAAAATGTCACTTTAGGGATACATATATATTTTAGGTCTTTTTGCATGTGAGAGAACTATGAAAAAGGGGGAGTAGGGAGGTAGGGAGAGACAGGAGAGGAACTCAAATAGATAAATGCAAAGTATGGGTAATGTTCTAATTCTTAGGTGACAAATGATTATGTTTGATAATCTATTTGCATGTTACACATCCTTTTATGTGTCAAATATTTTTTTTTTTTTAAAGATTTTATTGATTTATTTGAGAGAGGGAGAATGAGAGATAGAGAGCATGAGAGGGGGGAGGGTCAGAGGGAGAAGCAGACTCCCCGCTGAGCAAGGAGCCCGATGCGGGACTCGATCCCGGGACTCCAGGATCATGACCTGAGCCGAAGGCAGTCGCTTAACCAACTGAGCCACCCAGGCGCCCTTATGTGTCAAATATTAAAATGTAAGTACAACACTATGTATAAAGTATTGGCAAAATTTATATTTGCATGGTGGTTTTCGTTTGTTTTTAAGTAGGCTCCTCACTTATCGTGGAGCCCAACACGGGGCTTGAACTCACAACCCTGAAATCAAGACTGGAGCTGAGATCAAGAGTTGGGCACTTAACTGAGCCACCCAGGTGTTCCTGGCATGGTTGTTTTTAAAACTATGCTTATTTTATCAATCAGCATTCTTTATAGGCAATTCAGGATAACTTTAACAAAAAGTGATTTTATTAGAAGGCTAATAAGCAATCCTCAGGATCTCTAAGACAGCCAGAAAACCAGAATTAGAGGCTAGAGAGCCTCTAATCTCTTCAGATAACTGCTTCAGTGAAGACCCCAGTGTGTGGGGTCTTTTCTATTTCACTGCAGCTTACACCACTGACTTTGCTGACACTGGATACTGAATGTCATTAAAGCCATTTCTGCTGCTCCTCTGTGGAACTGCATATAGTAGCCAGTGTTGTAGGCCTTTACTCAAAGAATTCTGTAGTTTCCTGCTTCTTTGCCTAACTTTAAAGTTTGAGGTGGATGCATCTTTCTTAGCTGCAAAAGAGGCCGGGAAAACATGTATCTGACACTTTCAAATTTCTTAGGAGGGAGGAAGGCTTTGCCTCATTAGGTGAGGGATTCCCTAAACAGGATAGGAATAAGGATATTGGGCAGCCAGAAAAGAAATGACAGTTGTCTGCCACAGCCCATTCTCTTGGCTACCCAACACCAACACCTTCAGCTAATGCTTTCACTTGTTAAAAACTATTCAATGTAAAAGGGCTTGTCAGACATCATTAATTGCTTTCTCAATACTCTTTCCTCCTTGCTAATAGAATACTGATGTTATTTGAGGCAACTATGTACCCAGCCTTTGCAAATAGAAGTGACCATTTAAAGAGGTAGGCAAGTAAGACAGGGAAATCTGTCTGGAATTTCTGGGAAAGCTTTGCTTTTCTTCATAAAAGAGTACACACACAGTTGGCATAGGCTGTTTCCCTTTTTTTCTTGCCTTCAATATGGCCAAGACATCTGATACAGCGCCAACCTTTCTGTAACCAAAAGAACATGAAGGATGAAAAGCCACACTCTAAGGAGGCACATTTGAAAGACAGAACTGCACTTTTCTGTACACAGGTAAGACCACTAATTAGACACTGTCCATGTTAGTTGTATGCATACAAGCTCTCAGTTACATCATTCTAGAAAGAGATGACAAGTCTCATTAGTTATGACTCCATTTATTGAATTCGTATTTTCTAGTATATGGACTGTGGTATTTCTTTTGCACTACTACTAAAAACATTTTGCTAATCAAGAACCACTTGAACTCCAACCAGTATTTGGCATTTAAAGGCATCTTAACTTAGTGGTTAAGAATATGTTTAAGAGTATCTCTGGGTTAGAATCTTGGTTCTAGTTTAGACATATAGCATAATCTCCTTGTGCCTGAGTATGTGTAAAATGAGGTACAGTTGAAATGGAGATTATATGGTAACTAGAAAGCACCAAGCTTTCTCCTCCATATAGCCCCTACTATACATCCTCATATTGGATGTATCACTGCACTGTAATTATATGTGTGTCTTCGCTACCAAATTTTTCTTCAAAAAGTGTTAAGGCCTTTCTCCCACCTTTTTTCTATTCATAATCCTGAATGAAGTGTCTGGTACATAGTAGATTAGACATTCTCAAACTAGTATCCTTAGAAGTTATCTGGGACAGTTATTAAAATACAAATTGCTAGATCCCATTCCCAAATTTCTATTTCAGTAGTCAGCAAACCATTTTGGGGAACACTGAAATAGACCTTCAATGTTTGAATCAAATTATGCATAATGTATTACTATAAGTCAAGGTAAAAGGTAAAGTATTATTAAGGTAAAAGTGGATAATCTTTAAGTATTTTTTAAGGTACTTCCAAACTCAGTTTTAATTTTATAATATGATTTGTAATTGTATAATTTTGATTTTTAATCATGAGGAAATCTCTAAAACCATTTAAGAAACAGCTATTTGTAGTTATACTGCTGACTACCTTATGCTAATTACAAAATACTTATGAAAAGCCCTACTTGACAGGTTGCTATATATGTGAAAAATAAACCTTTGTATTTCCTAATAAGTAGATTCATTAGTGAGTAAAATTAACTATTACTCTTAAAATGTTTTTATTAGAAATGATGTATTTGTATTAACACCAGCCAGAATTTACATTTTGTAGGGCACTGAGAGCTCTTTCACTCAAACTTCAAGCTTTTGATTTGCCAGGGGGAAAAGTTAACATAAATTTATCCTGGTATCTGAGATGTGAACAACTTTATAAACAACTTTAAAGGAACATAAGGTAGATAAAGAGACACCATGTCATACTTTAATGGGCCATTTGATGACTTTTATCATTTTTACTGAAAACTGGCCATGGCAGCGGACATATCATGTAGGGGTACCTGCTTCCTGAGTGGAACCGTGGGACACACAGTGGCACTTAGGGCATATACTTCAAGCCAAATGGCTGGACTTAAGTTTTACTTACTGTTGGGAAACAAAATAAAAATGCCTACAGTGGGGGTGGAAGTATTTTTCAAATTCTATGCAGGACTTTGAATAGAAATTTGAGTTTCTTAAATGACATATACCTAATCATTAAAGATCATGACTATAGGCCAAGTCCTTTCAGTATTAGTGGGATCAGATGCTTTCAGGATATCTTAGTGAGGTTTTATTGTTTTAACTGGAGTTACTTCTTTATGGCAGTACAAAAGAAATTTTACATCACACAAAAGCACTAACAACAAACTCTAATACTGTGTCTCTCCTCTGCAGTATGGTGCTTAGTGCTACTGGAAAATATGGACAGGTTTAGGATTCATTATTTCAATTATTTTTGGGCAAACCTAAATGGATAGTATAACATGAAGTAATTTGTAAATTTGGCATGTGATTAAACTGAGATAGGCAAGTGAATTGATGAGTGAGCCTAGTTGACGGCTCAGCATTTGAATCTCAACACTGCTTTGTAGTCTACACAGCACAACGAATGTGGTAACTCTCATTAGGTGATAAAACTTTGCTTCCTCATGAAAAATGGATCTAAAAAGAAAGCGAACTATCAGTACTAGTAATGAAAGACATCCAAGTAAGTGATGGTTCTTAACTATAAAATAGAAGTTATATATAAATTAAATAGAATTTGGTACCTAAAAACTATGATGTGAATAAACCCATTATATGCTCTTCAACTGAGTAAACCACCCAAGTTGAAGTTTTCCAAGGAGGACAATATTGAAAAATTGACTACTAATATCTAATAGAGTAACAGCTACTTTCAGCATTTGAATTAAGAGGACGTGTGTGTGTACACACACAGGACAAATTTCTCAGGATTCTTTGAACAATATGATGCCTCTACTGTTACTTATTTTCAAGTATGTTTCTTGGGGACTAGCAGTAGGTTCTCTCAAATTAAGAGTAAAGACACCAGGTCATAAAGTGCCAACTCTTAGCACCAGAGAGACTTAAAACTTCAAAGGAGGTGAATGACAGTACAAATCAGAGAATCTGCCAATCTAGTTGTGTTGAATTGTATTACTTTTCTCAAATGGAAAAAAAAATCTAGGTTTATGCCAAATAGATTTAAAAAGCTAATCTCTTAAAAATTTTTTAGAATTGTAATTTATAATCCTATATAAAATAAAATTGCTAGCTTATAATAAAAGGATCTAAGTTTGAGAGATGTGAAGAAACAAAAAGGAACCGATAACAGTTTATATAAACTGAGGTCCCAGAACTGAAAATTAAAAGTAGTCTCTTAGAGAAAGGAATGGTGAAACTCAGTGTGTATTTTCACGAACATACCCAAAAACCGTTTTGTGGACAGCCAATTTGACTGCGAATTCTAAACTGCCACCTGATACCTTTAATCAACACTAAATCAAGTCTGGGGCAAGACACTAAATGGACAATACTTGAAAGATAATAACTTCCTTCCTTGATAAACAATCTCCAGCTGTCATTCAGAAGCTGAGTTATTTGATGGCGTGGGAAGCAGTGTCCATTGAGTTTTCCTTCCTGACCTGAAGAGACTCACTGCTGATGGACAGTAATTCTCGAAGTTCCTTATTTTCAAGCTGGAAAAAAAAAAAAAGGTTTGTTTATTTCAGATATTTTTACTGTTAAACTGCATCAGGATACCTGTTTTGGGCCAGGAACAGAAAGTGTATTATTTTAATTTTAAACGTTTTATGGAAACAAAATAACTGAGAATTTCCTAAAACATGAATTATTACTCATTTAACATACATTTTCTGAGTAATTTCTACGTGCCCTGTTTTAGGACAACAAAGAAAAAAACAAAGCCTCTCTCCACCTGAGGAATTCACTGCTTGTCATACTTTTTGTGGTTCCCACAAGTTGTACTACTGTTTCTTCTACCTTTTAAATTCCTAATAATATTTTGACTCTGCTCAGTCTTCTCTCCTGGATGTTTTGGAGAAAGGAAAAAAGGGGAAGAAACTACTCACCGGGGAAGTCAGGTACCACTGGGTGTCTTACATATATCATCTCAAAACAACCTGTAGGGCAGATACCGTTGCCCACATCCATGTTCTCTTTAAGATAAGGATACTGTAGCTCACAAAAGTCCAAAAACTTATCCAAACTCAGAGAACTTGGATGTGCTATTGCTGGGGTTTCAATCTGATGCTTGTGTTCTTTCCACTTACAATATAAATAAAATTTGTCCCATATTTCCTTAGGGCTCTTTCCATATCTAAGTAAATCAGGGATAGTGTAGATAAGGTCATTCTATCATTTTAACCAACTCCTAATTCCTACTTGGGACCCTGTCACTCCCTTTGATTTCCAGGTAGGGCAGCTTGCACTCTTCATCCTTATTCTCTCTGCAGGAAATTCTGGTAAACCATAGCATCCTCAGGCTTCACCCAGAGTCTGGGTCATTAAATCGTCTACCACATAAAGTGCTTCCCTTAATACTGTGCATCTCTCCTAGCATGTATAAACCATTTCATATAAGTAGTAGTCTTATTCCTTTCACTAGACTCTGAGCAGGGATATCCTATCTTTTTCTTTCTGTTATTTCTCAAAGGGCCCACCATGATAGCATCTGGTATAAGCAACATTCAAACCATCTATTGTAATGTGTTTTCTTAATAATTTTATAGGCATACTAGTACCCCTATGCCTTTTTTGTAAATTATTGCTATTACAATTAAAACATTACATGAAAATAACTTCTAAAGAATCAAGACTATAAGGTTTATAAAATAAACGGCAGACCCTTGGCTTTGTTCCCCAAAGGCAACCACTTTTATAAAATACTTTTTTTTTTTAAGATTTTTTAATTTGTTCATTTGAGACACAGAGATAGAGAGAGAGAGAGCATGAGCAGGGGGAGAGGGAGAAGCAGGCTCCCTGCTGAGTGAGGAGCCGGATGTGGGGCTCGATCCCAGGACCCTGGATCGTGACCCGAGCCAAAGGCAGACACTTAACCATCTGAGCCACCCAGGCGCCCCCACTTTTAATACTTTTATCTATTTCTTTTGGTACTTACTTCCATAATTAATAGAGAAATAAATAATTATTAATATGCCTGTTTATTTCTTTTTTTTTTTAAAGATTTTATTTATTTGACAGAGAGAGAGAGAGAGAGGGAACACAAGCAGGGGGAGTGGGAGAGGGAGAAGCAGGCTTCCCAGAGCAGGGAGCCTGATGTGGGGCTTGATCCCAGGACCCTGGGATCATGACCTGAGCCGAAGGCAGCTGCTTAACGACTGAGCCACCCAGGTGCCCCGTGTTCTGCTATTTCTTGATCATCGATTTCAGACATTACCTATTTGACTTCCTTTTATGACAGGAGGGATTTTATTTAAAATCTTTAAAATTTTTTAATTTTTATTTATTTATTTTTTAATTTATTTGACAGAGAGAGAGACAGCGAGAGAGGGAACACAAGCTGGGGGAGTGGGAGAGGGAGAAGCAGGCCTCCCTCTGAGCAGGGAGCCCGATGTGGGGCTCAATTCCAGGACTCTGGGATCATGACCCGAGCCGAAGGCAGACGCTCAACGACCTAGCCACCCGGATGCTCCCAAATTTTTTTTATTTTTTAAAGATTTACTTGTCAGAAAGCGAGGGGGGAGAGGGGGAGAGAAGGGGGGGGAGAGAGAGAGAGAGAGAGAGCAAGAGCACACAGCAGGGGGAGCGGCAGGCAGAGGGAGAGGGAGAAGCAGGCTCCCTGTGGAGCAGGGAGCTGATGCGGGGCTCTTATCCCAAGACCCCGGGATCATGACCTGAGCCAAAGGCAGATGCTTAACCAACTGAGCCACCCAGGCATCCCCAGAGGAGGGATTTTAGCTCACATGTAATTTGTCTCTTCCACTCTCTCTACCCTCTTGATATGATAATATCTCAATTTCTAGCCAATACATAGTTGGCATTTTCACTGTTTGCTGCTGATTACATTTACCTTCCTGAAAAGGGTATGGAGAAGTTGTTTTCTTTTAAGATTTATTTTTTTAGAGAGAGAGAGAGAGAAAGAACAGGAGGAGGGGCAGAGGAAGAGGGAGAGGATCTCAAGCAGACAGAAGCTGAGGGTGGAGCCCAACACGGGGCTCGATGTCACATCCCTGGGATCATGACCTGAGCTGAAATCAAGAGTCAGATGCTCAACCGACTGAGACACCCAGACGCCCCTGGAGGAGGAGTTTTAATTTTAAATCATGAACACACAGAAAACATTAATAACACTGCCTAGGATAGTGATGGCATACCTTCCAGACTCTGAGAAAACTCCCTGAATATTGTGAGCTTACAATGGCAGCAATCTTACCTCTAATTGGGCTAGTTTTTCCTGAATTTTACAAAATTGGTCATCATCCACCTGAACTGCTTTCCTCATCACTTCTCCCATTTCACATATTCTGTCAATCTGACTCTCAATTTCCTGTGAAGATATTAAGAAAAAAAGGTGAAAAAGTTTTCTGCAGATATGAAGTTCATGAGAACATGTGCATTATGATGTTAGAAAGTTCATTTAATCTATGCTACAGAAGTTACACAGGAGTTTCACTGTAATCTGAGTCCTTAGAGGCAAAGCCATAATAAAGTCATTTGTGGAATTCACAATTTGTTTTCAAGATTGATTCTAGTCTAACCACCCACTGAATACTTTTATTGGCAGGAAGCCTACCACATTCCAAGGTACCTTATTCTATCTTTGGATATATCTCTTCCCAAGTTTTTCATATGAGCTAAACTGTATTAAGGTTTAAGTTTTTTCCTCCAGATTACAGAAAATAGTTTATTTTTCTCTTCCAGATGAGAGCTATTTATTTACTTTGAGAGCTAGTCACATATTTAAAATATTCCTGTTCCCTAAGACTTTTGTTAAGTCCGTAAAATGCTTTCAAAGGAATCTAAGATGAAACTTATCTTTCATAAATTTCATGGAACAGATAGTGAGATGCCAATCTATCAATCCAGGTTTAAATGATATAGTACATATGAATGTACAATGACACCTGTGAAGCACTCTACAAACTTAAGCACAATTACTGGTTCTCCCAAATTAAAACATAAGCAACCAAAGTGTAGAAACCATGCCATGTATTTTTTAAAAACCATACTTCTCTCCAACAACATAGTATGATGCTATGTAGTTCAGTTTAACAAAGGTTTACTGACTGCCTGCTATGTGCCAGGTACTGTGTTAGGGATAAGAGAAGAACCCATGCTCCTTACAATCAAGCTTATATTTTAGTGAAAGTACAGTAATAACCAAGTATTTACTGAGCACCTTCAGCACTACCTTGCCTTATGTTTGCATAAGCATCCATTCATCTTGAAAAGAGATCTTGGGGCAGGCGGGAGTGAGGAACCTTAGTCCCACTGAAAGAAAAAAGCTCCTGAGCAGCCCCTTATCCCCTTCTTTCTATTCATATCCTTACAAAGCTACAGCAAAATCCACAGCGAATGTGGATTTTTTCCTTTCATAAACATGAAAGGAAAACAAGCGTACTTCAAAAACAAGCAATCAATTTTAAACAATTCAAGATTTTAATCCCGTTCAAGATTTTAATCCTGTTCATTCAGAATTTATTCATCAAAGTTTCTTACTGCAGAGTGAGACTGGTGAGCTTTCAGGACTGGTTCAGCATCCACGGCCTTTTTAGCAACCATTAATTGTAACATCTGCTTCCGGTACTTGCTCATGATGAGTTCCAAAGCATCCTGGTGTTCCTCCAAGGAAACCCATAGCTCTATCAAAAAAATAAAATCGCTTGGCAGTGACGTCTGAGAGCTCCCAAAGCCAAAACTCTTTTAACAGTTGTAATTTTATGACACTCCATGAGATATTGTGAATGCAAAGTTATAACCAGTGTTTAAGTCTACAAAACTCAACAGTTAAGGTCTACAAGAAAAATAACTTTCTAGGCAGAGGCAGCATAGTCTGGTAGAAACAACATGGGATGTAGAATCAGAAGACATGGATTTCTTCAGTGAGTTACTAGCTTACTACTACTCTCATGCAAATCATTACCCTCTCCGAGCCTATTTCTTAACTGCATTGTAATATTAAGTACCTAGGGCTTATCTACATCAAAATGAATATATGAGAATACAATGGGATGATACATGTGAAAGCTGTTAACTGAAACACAAATAACTTCATACTGCTATCATTAATAATGTCCTCATGAAGCCTAAGAATATATACCCTGAGGCTAAAATTCAGTTCTTCCACCTTGCACAAGAACATTTACAAAACCTCTTCAATCTTAACGTGTTTATTTCAATTAATGTTTAAACATAAAAAATTCAAGCCCTTGAGTATATTAACACTCTTGTTGTGCAAATATCCATATGGGGATACATAAATAAGCCATGCAATAATTCAACTCTATTAAGCACCCTTTTGATAAGCTGCCTACAGATACAAAATCAGATGACCTTAAAAAGGGTAATGTAACAAACTTTACTGTTACTGGGCCATCACAGAATAACTTTTAAAAGTAGTAATCTGGGGGGGAAAAAAGTAGTAATCTGGAGATACATACAGGATGTGAATAGTTAGTTTGGCACGAACTTTTGAAATATTACTGGATATGAGAAAATCATAACTACACCAAAAGGCCTGACTAACCTCTGTTTTCCTGCTGCAAGTCTCTAATCTGTGTATTCTCTTGGGACAGCAGAATGTGAGGTTTGAATTTGGACATGTCCTTTATATCGGATGCATCTTCTTGATACTGGACAAACAGAGACAGACTAAGCGCGCCGTTAACAGGAGAACAGCAGCGGACGCAACCGAAGGAGGAGGAATCGGGGCTCCAGGGCAGCATTCTCAACCGCGACCCCGCAGAACGCTCTCACCGCCACCCTCTGAGACTAGGCATAAACTTAAAGCCGAGTTCCCACCTTCCTTCGCCCTCCACCCCTCGGGGGCACAGATCCTGCGAGCACGGCCCCCTACCCTCTGCCCGACCTGGTCCGGTAGCGCCGTCCCCGCCTCCCGCATAGCGGCCACTCGCCGGTGCAGCGCGGCGGACTGATCCACTAGCGACTCTGCGGCCGCGTCGTGCTCCCGCAGCCGTTCCAGCAACGTCTTGGCGTCTGTCAGGATCTTCTCGATGGTGCAGCTCATAGTGGCCCAGGACCACAGCCCCAGCCCTGCTCACCTACCCGAATCTTCCCTGAACCTGGCTCAGCGTTACAAACGTCACTTCCGGTACGTTTAAAAAGGCGCCTCGGCAGCCTCCATATGCGCTTGCGCAGTGGCGGCCCAGTCCGCGGGTGACCTCCTTGAGCCAGCGGCCTCTGGGCAGCCTCACCCTGCGCGGAGCCCCAGGCCTGGGCCTGCCCCGCCCTTGGTTTCTGGCTCCCAGGGCCTGGCGGTCCAGCTGGTTTGCGGCTGGGCGGACCGAGTTTCTTGGTTTTGATTGATGTGGGTTGTTATTAAGTAATCCGTTTTTTTTTTATTTTTTTTGGTGCTTAGTCTCTTTTTTATTTTTTAAATTTTTATTTATTTATTTGAGAGAGAGAGGGAGCATGAGCAGGGGGAGCAGCAGAGGGAGAGGGAGAAGCAAGCCCTCCGCTGAGCAGGAAGCCCGATGTGGGGCTTGATCCCAGGACCCTGAGAGCATGACCTCAGCCAAAGGCGGACGCTTAACCCACTGAACCACCCAGGTGCCCCGGTGCATAGTCTCTTTTTTAAAATTAATTTTAAAAATTGTGGTAAAATACAATAAATGTACCATCTTAACCATATTAAAATGTACACTCCTGTAGTATTAAGTGCTTTCCCTTTGTTGTGCAACCAATCACCACATCCATCTCCAGAACTCTTTTCATCTTGCAAAATGGAAACTCTGTGCTCATTAAATATTAACTCCTTGTTCCACTGCAGTACTCCCAGGCACTGGCAACTGCTATTGTAGTTTCTGTCTTTATGAATTTAACTACTTTAGGTACCTTATGTACAGTGAGTGGAATCATTGCAAATCATACTTGTTTTGTGACTAGATGATTTCACATAACATGTCCTCAAGTTTTATTCATGCACATCAGAATTTGCTTCCTGTTTAAGGCTGAATTATATTTCATCTTATGCGTATGCCATATTTTGTTTATTCATTCATCCACTGAGGGACACTTGGGTTCCTTCCGACTTTTGGCTATTATGAATAATATTGCTATGAATAAGGGTGTTGTTTATCTGTTTGAGTCCCAGCTTTCAATTCTTTTAGCTCTGTACCCAGAAGTGGAATTGCTGGGTCATAGAGTAATTCTACTTTAGATTTTTTGAGGAAAGATCACACTGTTTTCCAGAGTGGCTGCACAATTTTCCATTTTTAGCAACAGTGCATAAGGGTCCCAATTTCTCCACACCCTTGCCCACACTTGGTGTTTTCCGTTTTTGTTGTGATTGCTGTTAGCCATCTTAATGGGTGTGAGATGCAGTAACTATTATTTTCTGCTTGCCTATTTTTTCTTTTTTAATTCAATTAATAAATTAAAAATAAATTAACCAGGGGGCGCCTGGGTGGCTCAGTTGGTTAAGCGACTGCCTTCGGCTCAGGTCATGATCCTGGAGTCCCGGGATCAAGTCCCACATCCGGCTCCCTGCTCAGCAGGGAGTCTGCTTCTCCCTCTGACCCTCTTCCCTCTCGTGCTCTCTATCTCTCATTCTCTCTTTCTCAAGTAAATAAATAAAATCTTTAAAAATAAATTAATTAATTAACCAGGATGGCAATGACTTTTGTACTTTTTGTTATATTGGTTTACAAGAGTTTACTTTGTCAAGCTTGTATGTCAAACTTTGTTCTTTTTCATTCATTACCTTAATAAATATTTTTGGAGAGTCTGCTTTGTTTCAGGCACTGTTTAGTGTCTAGAATACAGCAGAGAATGACACAGCGTCTCTGCCCTTAGGGATTAGTCTAATGGGAGAAAGAGTTCATACTCTTATAAATAATTGAAGGTAATGACGGGATTAAGAGCCTGGTAAAAGGGGCAAGAGCCTCAGAGCCGTAGTGAGAGGTTAGAGAAACAGCAGGGAAAGCACAATGCTTTTCACTTTTGTATTCCCAATAGCTGGCACAATGGACACGTTCAATAATTGTTTGTCAAGAGGGAGATGGGGAACAAGTTCAACAAAAATAACAAATTAGGACTACTGACCAAAAGGAAAAAGATTAACACAGAGCCACAGATATAAAGAGGTTTCATTCATTCATTAAAACAAAACAAAACACCTCCCTAAATGATCTCTTTCCCTTATTTGTCTTTGACTTCCATTCAGGGATGATGGTTCTCAAATCTATCTCTGTAGCCCCAATCTCTCTCATGAGCCTAGAATATATATTTTGGGTTGCTTATAGGGCATTTCCAGAGGCACAACGAGGTCAGAACCTGATCCCATTATTTTTTTTTAAACCTGCTCCTCCCTCTGTTTCAGTAAAGAGCACATTCATAGCCATTTGCCCAAAACAGAATCCTAAGAGTTGTCCTTTATTCTTCCTAGTTATTCTTCACACCTAATTAGTTATCGAAGCAATATATGTCCTTTATATCTTTAGGACATATTTCCTTCTTTGTATTCTCACGGCTACTGGGTAGGTTAGGCCATCATCCTTTCTCATCCAGATGAAGCGACAGTCTCCCAACTGGTCTTCTCCCTACGTCAAGTCACCTTCTTCTCTAATAGCTCTTCCTCAAGGACACCACAAGCCCTGCTGCCCTTTCAATGGTGGTAATTATTCTTCTATGCCCCACCCACATTAGGGCTGAGAACTAGACTGGTTATTCTAATTCCCCAATGACACTGCCAAGTAATTATTCATACCTGCTTGTGTAAAACCTCCACTTTAAGTTTGTATCATCCAGCTGAAGAATCTTCTATTCCTCCTTATTGCTATCAATTACTGACCTTCTACGTTGGGTATTCTACTTTACTCCTAGATTTGAGGAACTGGCTTACAGTTTTTTTGATTACTTCATGCTTTGCCTGCATTCATGTCTATGTGGACAATTTAGCTAAGGGTCTTCCTTGGCCTCCTCATTTCTAGAGACATTGAATTTGTTTTGGTCATCCCTTGATCATTTGGTCATACCCTTGATCTTTCACCAAGAATTGTTTCTCATCAGAAGTTTTAAGCTTTCGGGGCACCTGGGTGGCTCAGTTGGTTAAGCGTCTGTCTTCGGCTCTGGTTGTGATCTCAGGGTCCTGGGATCGAGCCCTGCATCGGGCTCCCTGCTCGGCGGGAAGCCTGCTTCTCCCTCTCCCACTCCCCCTGCTTGTGTTCCCTCTCTTGCTGTATCTCTCTCTGTCAAATAAATAAAATCTTAAAAGAAAAAGAAGTTTTAAGCTTTCATATCTAATTGTTTGACTACAGCCTTTCTTTCAATCTATCTAGGTCTCTTTGACCTCATCTACCTCTTCTATTTTTGAATATGTCCATATTCTCTCTACCTATCAGATTATTTTTTTGTGGTCTAATTTTCTTTCCCTGACCAGACAGGGCTCTTATAATAGGCAATCTGGACAGACCATAGTCTCTCTCTTACACCTAATTTCTGTGCACTTTTTTTTTTTTTAAAGATTTTATTTATTTATTTGCGAGAGAGAGAGAGAGAGAGAAAGGGCACACACATGCAAGCAGGGCAGGGGGTAGGGAGTAGCAGAGGGAGAGGGACAAGTAGACTCCATGCTGAGCATGGAGCCCAAGGTGGGGGGAGGCTCGATCCCACTACCCTGAGATCATGACCAGAGGCTAAATCAAGTTTCAGACACTTAACTGACAGAGCCACCCAGGTGCTCCTGTACACTTTTTAAAAAAGCCAAATGCAAGCAGGAAACTCCAACCCTTGACCAATCCTATGATTCTAGTAGTGATTAAAAGGGGATACAGAAATAAGGGAGGGTTTTTGTTTCTGTTTTTGCTTTTATTTTTATGAACAAGTCTTGAGCATGTTTATAGCCTTCATATGGGAAGGGTCTAATAGAGGAAGAGTTACAAGAGAGTAGGGAGACATTTGAAGGAGGAAGAGCCAGGAGAAGAAGGGACATAGTAGCTATTTAATAGATCTTTGCAGAAGTTGTTGTCACCACGGTCGGAGTCACCACTGCTGCCAAACCACTTCAACCTACCATGCCAAGACCTTGGAGAAGACCTTCAAGTGGTGCTGTACCTTTGAACAAAGAATAAAAGATGCCGGAGTTACTCAAGAGCAGCATCCTACCAAAACCCCAGTGATAAGAGAACCATACAAGGGTGGGGGGGGGGAAGGAACTATAGGGTGAGAAGCAGTTTCCTATCCTGGATAAAACTGAGTTCCTTGCACCTGATCACATCAACATGAGTGAACTCATCAAAATAATTAGAAGGCTCTTACAGTTCAATGCCAATCAAGCCTTCTTCCTGGTAGTGAATGGACACAGCACAGTGAGCATATCCATGCCAATTTCTGAAGTGTGCAAAAGTGAGAAGCATGAAATGGTTTCCTGTATATGGTGTATGCCTGTCAGGAGACATTTGGAATGAAATTGTTGGTGTAAGATTAGAAAAATGTGTCTGTTCTATTTTGCTCCTTTGTCCTCCATAGGGTAAGTTTTGAGCTCTCATACCTATTTTTTCCTGTTGCTGCTAACTAATGGCTTTCTAAGACTTAGTCTTGAAAAACCACAGACCCTCATAATTATGGTAAAAGAAATCTCAGTAAGATAAGGAAACATGTTTAGTCTTCTAGAAAGTCAGAAAAGCAGATACTAGTTTGTATCATAAAACTCCTTGTAAATGTTAATTATAATTAAGAGACACCCTGACTTCAGAGATTGTTGCTGTGGCCTGAGAAAATAACCTTTAACATCTAAAAAGTCTGTAATTCTGATTGGTTGTCTTACCTAATAATTTATTGCCCTGGTATTAATATTTAAACTGACATCCCTATTTCCTAAAAGGTTTAAATATGCTTTGTAGTAGGTTGAATTGTGTCTCCCCAAAAGATATGTCCAAGCCTTAACTCCCTGTACCTGTGAATGTGACCTTACTTGGAAACGGATCTTTGTATTTGTAATTAAGAAAAGAATCTCAAGATGAGATCATCCTAGATTAGAATGAATCCTAAATCCAAAGACAGTTGCCCTTAGAAGTAACAGAAAAGGGGGTGCCTGGCTGGCTTAGTTGGTAGAGTGTGTGACTCTTGATCTTGGGG